TCTCTTTACATAACTAAGAAAACAAACTCTAGAAAATAAATTGGATGGCATAAACATGGTAGATAGGACAACAATGCAATTCTTTATTTGTTATCAGCTACAATAATAAAAACAAGTTCAACAGAAGCCATGTAATGATTTAATTTTGTTATACTTACAGCAGATTATAGCAGCTATATCTCCAACTCAACCTACTTCCTATGACAACATGCTATGCAATTAATAAAGGCGTTACTATTGTTGTGTCTAGATTACAGGATCATTCAAAGCAGAGTGGGAGTTGCAGTTTCCTTTTTAAAAAATTATAAAAGAGACAGCATCTGGAGCTGCAGTTATAAACTCATATTCAGGAAATGATAAAGATGTTTTATCTATTTCTTTTGTTCATTGGATCTTTAGTAACATTTGACAATGTGTCAGCTTGTTACTGTCCACCCAGCAAACAAATTGATTCAAAACTGTTAAAAAAATTGGGCATTGCAGCACTTGAAAATAAACTAGGTCATTCAAGGTAAGTTATAAAATTATTTTAATAATCTTGTATCATTTCTATTGCTAGCAAGCAGATATGTGTTCCTTACACCACCACACTTAAAGAGTCAAAATTGATTCCTAACTTTGACAAATCAAAGAGTGTTATATCTGAAACATTCTGTGATCCTAAGGACAGTGATGGATCTATTACCTGTAAAATAGAAAGCCCTTTCTTTGCATTGAAAAAGTGCTACTCATAAAAATATCTCTGTATCAATCAGGTAGTGTGACCTTCCTTTATGGAGCAGACTTTCAATGTTCTGGTCTCGATCTACCAAAAGCTTCAAATGCTAAGAATGGTTCATGATATTATTATTTTATTTTCACTATAGGGAAGTGCATTGATTCAATTTTTCTACAAGACAAGCAATAATGTGGTACAACAGATGATGGTTGTTTCCCTGCCTTACAAGTGGACTTTGTTGTTGGAAATGGGGCTATAGTATATCTGGGTCGATTGTGTACCCCAGCGATTTAAACCTAAATCAAGGTTTGCAAACAGAAATATAGATCTAAATGAGCATGAGGTACAAGCCAATTTAATTCCATTTTAATCACTATTAAAATGCAGATTCATGGAAAGCAGGCCCACTGACTTACAAAAGTAGATATGAATAACTCACAGTCAAACTCAGGGCAAGGAAATAGTGTGTTAAATTTTTGATAAATTACATAATGTCACTTACAGACTGTAACGCTTTAGAGGAGATAGACTTCTAATCTTCAAGTGAGGGATGACATAGCCTTTGGTCCTGGTATACTGTTTGAGGCTAAAAAAGTGCAAATAGACCATTTTTAGGCTATAGAAAACTTACAAATTATTTTTAAAGGCATAATGACTATCTATTCAAATCAAATTTATCATCACCAGTAAGGAATTCCTCCAAATGTACAATGGCAAATGTATGCATATTTGTACTTTAGGAAAAATCCAATGCAACTGATCAATAATGTAGTTAAATATATCAAAATTGTCAAGAAAATTAGATCTAGTGGATGGTCAGGTACTGTAACTTTTTTCTAACTATGTTATTATGATGAAGTGGGAATAAAGGTCAGATAGAAGCCGTAGCTGACTCATGTAACTGGGTAACAAACTTAGAAGACTCAAAACCACTTCCAAACCATAAGTTAAAATACAAAATCTACATTATAATTGTTTATAATCTCACTATCTCAGTTGACAATTTAGGTAAGTATTATGCAAAATATAGCTATAAACCAATTGTCAAGTCCTGCGCTAGAAAATATGTGGAAAATTGCCACAACCACATGGACCTTTAAGATTTTCTAGACCTTCTGAATCACCAGGACTTCCTAGAAAATCAGGCTGACAACGATCACCTGCGATGGACCAGATACAGTGACTTTTGGAGAACATTTTTTAATTTTTGATATAAACTTTCATTGTTTTTGTTTTTGTCAGCTGATGTAAAAAGTTTTTAGTACAACAACACAGCAAACTAGATAAAATGAATGAAAAAAGTCAATTAAACATGCAAAAAATAAAAACAATAAACAATGCATGTAAATGACTACACATATTCATGAGGTACTATTTACATGGCATTTATCAGCTACTCTAAAGTGAAGAATAATCAGCAATTTATACTTCTCTCTCTTGACACTGAAAATTATACCAACCTACCTCACTATAGTCCCAATCCATACATGTTGAATATCCTGGGCCTAAAATGAACATGCAGCTAGCTAAATTTTCACATTGTCAAGTACAAAAAATGAGGCATAGAGGCTAGAGATGACTCATCAACAAATATGGCAAACAGAAAATTAAACAAATAAACATAGCTGACAATAAAAATGAAATATTTATTTAGTAAAGCAACACAAAGTAGCATTTCATCAACTGGCTACTCATTGTATTAATCATCATCACCATTAGTATTATCATCCTTATCACCATCATCATCACTGAATCATTATTATTGATTTAGTAGACACAGCACCATAATAGCTACTTACCCTTATGCTATACTATACATAAAAGCAATCATGTACTCTTGATGAAAGTGCTCTTTAAAAATAAAATTCATTTAATAAATTTTATTATGATCGACACTAGTGACAATTCAGCAGTCATATGATAGATTCCCCCTCACAATCTTTAAAACCCACTCATTATGACCATACATGAAGGTGTTACTATACTGCTGTGTCTGGGCTATAGCAAAGTTATTTCCCCAAATCAAAGCAAACAAAACCCCAAACTGAATCTATTTTTTATAGTACAATTGCATGCCAGAGTAAACGACCATCACGCGGACGGATCAATATTGGGACGGTAATATTTTTTGACTGGTAGTAGATACTGACCGGATTTCTTTGCTGTAGGTAGCCATGTTCTTGTTGAACTTGCGTACAAACTTTTAGCTTGCAATGATATAGTACAAGAAAGTTATCGACCTCAAACCCAACCTGTCCATCATCCGCGGTCTTCGAACGACAGAACCATTTTACGGAC